TTTTAATTTTATAATTTTTTTAGTTTTATTTTTATTTTTTTGTTTTTAAATTTTAAATGAAAATAATATAATATTATATATATTATTAAAAAAATTTGAAAAATTAATGGGGCCACAAATTAGTACATCCGATCCTGTAACAAAACTTAAATTTAGTTTTAATTTTATAATTTTTTTAGTTTTTATTTAATTTTTTTTAGTTTTTAAATTTTAAATAAAGATAATATAATATTTTATATATTATTAAAAACAAAATTGAAAAGTTAGTGGGGGCAACTACCCCTACAAGCTCCAACGTGCGTCCGTCATTGACTACGGTCCTAGTCGAGACTTGACATTCTACTTTAAGAATCAACTTTTCAAGAAGGATTTTCAACAATTGGACTCATAGAGTACCACAATACTATATCTTCACAATGAGATATTTATATTTTAAAACATCTCTTCTTTAGTCCCAAGTCAATCAACATAATGCCTTGCATTTAGCATTTTCAACACAACCACGTCAACACTACACAACATACAACTCAACTTTTATTTAGTTTACCACTTTAAACAACTTAAAATATCTACATACATCATCCTAAATTAATGTATAAGGAATTAAAGTCATACAACAACATATAATATGTAACCATTTCCACTTATACACATAATATTCAACACTTAGCCAAATAAACAACACATTTTTATTTAGTCTCATGCCTAGTGTCTTTTTTCCCATGCCTAACATCATTTTGCCTGTGCTTGATATTATTGAGGTAGAGAGCTTTTAGCTCACCCATGTTTGACGTCATTCTTCTTGCACCCAACGTGAATGAAGTAGAGAACCTTTGGGTCAATCACGCCCAACGTGGCCAAACCCATTCTTGAATTCGTTCAGGTAGAGAATATTTGCTTGACTCACGTTTGACTTTGTCTAGGTAAAGAATTTTTTGTCTTTATCACGTCTGATGCCACTTAGTTAGAGTACGACGTCACCAAGTCAAAGAACTCTCTTTTAACTCACGATGACACTATCAATCTCGTGCCTCGCGTCAACGAGGTAGAAAGCCTTTAACATGCATCACGCCAAACACCTTAAAGTTATGCTTGACACGATGATGAATTTAGCACTTGGCATATTCATGTTTTGATATAAATCCACTTGAAACTCAGAAAAGCTCAACATGTAAAACTAAATATCATAACCACACATCATAAGTAGTTTATTTCAAACCAAAATAACCACATGCAAACAAGAATTGAATCCAAAATCATCATCTCATACTCAACACATTCAAGAACACCGAAAACTAAAAATCAAGAATTTCACTTTTCAAATTATCATTACAGCCACGATTTCAATGAAAATTAAGTAGGATGCAACTCAACAATTCATCAATAATCAAGTTATAACTTTCCTTACTTACGAATCACCTAAAAAGAGATAGAAGGAAGCAAAAGAAGTTACTATGGGCTAACTTTGCATCATCACCACAATTCGGCTCCGAAGCTTCACCTAAACAACCACAAAGTCTACTACTAGGGAAGGGATGGAAGAAATATGTGGATTTAAAAGATAAAATAGATCTCCTCAATTCTAGAGTTTCTCTCTCTAGTATCTCTCTAAATTTAAAAAAAAAAAATTATGAAATTACCTTTTCCTTAACGGACCAAACTTGATCCCATACCAAAATAACTCATAAACAAGTAACGTTCATAAAAAAAAATTCCTTAAAATTTTAAAATACTTAAATAATTAACCACAATATTTAAAATAACAAAATCAGCACTTACTAATAAAATCGTTACATTATTATTTATATTTTCTCCCATCTAATCCGATTTAGATCTCCTCATATGATATTTTTATTCAATAAATTTTGACTTTTAAATTTTATTATAAAAAAAGAGATATGGAATTTTGATGCTAAAAAATTTAACCGTCCAAAAACAAAACATACTATAAAGAAAAAATACGATAAAGAAACAACAACATTAACTCCTGCTATTTAATTTGTGCATCAATTATTCGTCTACTTTTTTTTTGAAATACAATTATTTTTATCCGAAGGATATGAGTTTTTAGAATTATTTTCTCCGTACGAAGTAATTACCCGTTTGCTCTAGGTCGGTTGGAGGTAGAGTCACGGAGAATTAATTTTGAAAAAGTTTTAAAAAATCATAACAAAAAGTGTTTTTATTAAAAAATATATATAAGAATTAGTTTTCTAACAATAAAATAAATTGGTGCAAAAAAAATAAAATAAATGAACCAAGAAACTTCAATAAAAAATAATTATGGCCTAAGAAAAATATTCTTCTTAATCAAAGTCAAAAACTAATTTTTAAATATAATATTTCTTACGAACAACTACATCAAAAATATTAGTCAATACAAAATAAATTTGTTAAGGAAAATGTATTTAATATATTAAAAATTGCAAACATAAATTTAATTTAACTTTCTATTTTGTTTTCAAATGATTAAAAATTAATGATAAATAATAAATACTAGTATATTCTTTAAGAAATGTTTTAATAATTAATTTCCATAGTGGAAGATTCTAGCTTCGTAATTGCTTTGAAAATCCAACCCATTTATGTAAATTGCAATCGACTATTGAAGCTCACTGTCAGACTTTTCCCACGTTCCCACTAGCTTTCATATCTATACCAATTTTGAAAAAACATATAATAATTATTTCAAAATCCACAACTTATTTTATGTTCAAATTAATTATTATTATTATTTTATTTTATTTTCGTTGGTTCAAATAATATTCTTTGCAGTGTAAGATCCAAACGGTTTCACGAAGAAACGAATTAAGAATATTGGAAGAGTAGTTAGTTGCGTCGCCAACTCATCGGAAAAATTTGAATTTCTGGGCAAAAGGAAAAAGCCATCATCATCTCCAACAGCGACAACAAGGACAAAGCTAAAAGTCCCTGTTCTGTTTTCAGAGAGCAACGTTTAACGTTTCGTTTACACAGCACGAAAACACAACAACACTCACAACACCAATTTTCCCAAATCCTTGGTTTTGTTCCGTGTCTGTTATTGTGTTACAATTTCTCTCTCCTTATTATTATTATTTTTTTCTCTCTCTTTCTCTTTCCTTGGGACTGAGGAGGTTTGTTTCTCGTTCGCAACAACCTCAACCTCCTCATTCAAACCTCGTTACTTTCGCTTTCAGCAATGGAAACCATCGACCTTCCTCGATTAGGCAAATGCGCCTCTGGAGTTCGTTTTCGGAGGTTGTGTTGATCCGACCCTTTTCCACCTTATTTTCTTCAAACCACCCCCAGTGGAAAGGAATTCTTTTTTTCATTCTTATTTCCATTTTCCGCGCTAGTTCCGAAATGGGTCGGAGGAATCAGGAAACGGGGTGTTGAAAATTGAGAATTTGAGGGAAACGTTGTGAAAAAATTTCTTTGAATTTTGGTGATTGAAGTTTTCAAGATGATGTTATCATCAGCTTCGATGTCTTCTCTAACGAGGAGTTCGTTGGAAGAGATGCTTGAATCGCTTCGCCGGAGAGACGAGGAGGAGAAGCCGAAGGACAAGCCGCCGGCATTGCCGTCGCGGCCTCCGTCGAGGGCGCGGTTGCCGTCGGCGAGGAGGTTGCCTAATAGCTTCAAGGTTGATGGTGAGATGGGGCACAGGAGGAAGAGTAGTTTTGGGCACAAGAAGATAAAGATGGATGTTGAATCTCCTTATGTAGTTATATCAGAAGAGAAAGTGAGTGAACAAGTATCGCCTTGTCCAGTTTCAACATCCAATGAGTCTTCTTCAGATTGTGAAGCTCCTCCTTCATCAGGGGAGTTTGAGGATGACAATGTTGGTTATTTCATGAAAAAGGTAATTGGGGACTTGAAAATGTTTATGATAAATGATTGGAGATAAGTAATAGCTGGCTGATTAATGGATTGGAGTTATAACAGCGGTTCTCAGTGTTTTGAAACTCTCGGATTGTTTTCGGTTATTGTGTTTTTTAGTTAGAGAATGCTAGGTTTTTGGTGTTTTGATGAAAGCAATCAGCTTGAATGAAATGTGGAAGTTGGTGTTTCAAAAAAATGTATTATTGACACAGTAGCGTAACCTTTCAGAATTGCAAATAGGGTAGAATTTACCTGATGTAATACCTTGTTAGCTTGCTACTTATTGAGTGGTATCTTGATTCAGAGGTTTTTATTTGTTTGATCTTTCATTCTGGCTCTACTTTTGTTCTTCAGTAGGTTAATATTATGCACAGATACATTATTTTTAGCATGTATAGCTTACTTGCAGCTCAATTTTCTTTGTGTTTTTTATTTTCCCAATCCCTATGTGTTCATCTTATTAAATGTTATTTGATTGAAAAATATCGAAGTTCCTTTTAACATTTTACTTGAGGAGAATGTTTGTTTATGGCTTTTATCTATTTATATATCAGCATTGAGACATTGTTTATGCATATTTGTGTCTGTTAAATTTCCTTTTTGTTTTTGGTTGTTTCCACAGAAACTTCATGTTTGGTGTAGGCAACCAAAAGGGAAGTGGGAGCTAGGAACGATACAGTCAACTTCAGGAGAGGAAGCATCTGTTTCACTCTCAAACGGAAATGTGAGTTTCTTAGTTTTTTGTGTCTTTCAAAGGTAGTATTCATTCTTGAATTGCAAGGTAACAGGTTATTTTTGCCATCGAGTTGTTACTGCAGGTTATGAAAGTAGCTAGATCAGATATCCTACCAGCTAATCCTGATATTTTAGAGGCTGTCGAAGATCTTATACAGCTCAGTTATTTAAATGAGCCCTCAGTTCTTCACAATCTTCAGTCTAGATATTCTCAGGATATGATTTATGTATGTCTGCTGCTTTGGCTTGTTTTTCATACTTGGCCTCGGGTGCCTATATATGAACTCTCATATGCTGCTTGTGCTCTTTGTATGCAGAGTAAAGCAGGGCCTATTTTAATTGCACTCAACCCTTTCAAAGATGTCCAGATTTATGGAAATGATTATATCTCAGCTTATAGGCAGAAACTTATGGATAGTCCTCACGTTTATGCTATGGCAGATGCAGCTTATAATGAGATGATGGAAGGTGAATGAAATTCCCCTTTTCTTTTTCCTCCTTTGAAACCTGTTTAATGTAATTGTATGATAAAAAGGTTTTCTGTTTGCACATTGTACATTGCAGATGAAGTGAACCAGTCTATCATCATCAGGTCAGCTCTCAGCACATTTTTTTTATATATATAGTTTTTATAATAAGGAAGGTATAATAACCGGTAGTAATCTGTTTACAGCGGTGAGAGTGGATCTGGAAAAACAGAGACAGCAAAAATTGCTATGCAATACTTAGCTGCTCTTGGTGGTGGTTGTTCTGGAATAGAAAATGAAATTCTTCAGACAAATTTTATACTAGAAGCTTTTGGGAATGCAAAAACATCTAGGAATGACAACTCTAGCAGATTTGTGAGTTTACATTTCTTTTCATTGTAGTGGAAGGAACTTACTCCTCCTGTTTTTGTTCTACAAGATTTCTATAGCAGATTTATGACTGTGGATTTTATCTAATGGCTGAGCAGTTTAGTTGATAAACATTTTTAATTTGATGCAGGGGAAGTTGATTGAAATTCATTTCAGTGCAATGGGGAAAATTTGTGGGGCAAAAATTCAAACTTGTAAGACTGTCAGAACTAAACATGTTACATAAAATTAGTTTTTTCTGATATTTTTTTTCCCTTTTCTTTTAACAATATACTGACCTGACTTGACCTGTTCTTATGGTTTTGTGTTTCTCATATGCCAATTCCCATTTGCTGACTTGATCAGTTCTGTTAGAAAAGGTAACTTATGATGCCCTATTTGAACAAAAGTGTGAAACTGAAATATTTATTATTCTTCACTTCTGAAATCATCTTGTTTCCTGGGGCCAGTCAAGAGTTGTTCAACTTGCTTTGGGCGAGAGGTCATATCACATATTTTATCAACTTTGTGCTGGATCTTCGTCTGAGCTCAAAGGTGCATTTTCTATGCAATCAATCTACTAGTTTGCATAGTTTTATACTTCTTTGCATCTTTAAATCTCAATGAAAATCTTTGAGATGATCCATTTAAATGACCATTGACTGTGATACTCCAAACTATTTATCATCTGTAAAGATATCCTCTCTGCCATATAATCTTATTTACAAATTTTAAATGGACACTTATTTTATATCTTGAAATTCATCGACACCAATTTCTGAATGTGAAGTGATAGGTTACCTTCACACTGTTATTCGTTCATCAGCTTAATTGGGCTTGAAAATATTTTCACCCATATTGAATTACTTTCTTTTGCTGTGCAGAAAGACTGAATCTTAGGATGGCTAGTGAATATAAATATCTTAACCAGAGTGAATACTTGACAATTGATGGTGTTGATGATGCTAAAAAGTTTCATGGGCTGATGGTATATTATTTGGCAGTTCATTTTTTGAACATTAGCATCTTTAATTTTGTTTATGGCCTCCTGAAATCTCATGTCACCTTTTCCTCCTTTTGCATTTGAGTTTTTCCCCAGGAAGCATTGGATGTTATTAGAATGTGCAAAGAGGATCAAGAATTGGTTTTTAAGATGCTGGCTGCGATTTTATGGCTGGGAAACATATCATTCCAAGTTAATGACAATGAAAATCACATTGAAGTGGTGAATGATGAAGGTAATTGTTAAGATGTTCCATATTGGCTATGAATATGGTCAAAATAGTCTATATAAGACTGGGCAATCCTACCCCCTTTATTCATATTGTCTATTACTAACATAGTGACATATCGCATATATGAAATTTCAATTACTACTTAAAAATGACTTTTGTTTTTCTTTTCTTTTGGCAGCTGTAACCAATGCTGCTTTGCTAATGGGCTGTAGTTCCCAAGAGCTAATGGAAGCATTATCTACCCATAAAATCCAAGCTGGCAAGGATACTATTACCAAGACATTGACCTTGCGACAGGTATGTCCATTACTTGAGTTAAATCTGTTTTATTCGGTTAATGATTTACAACATATGTACTAATATATATGCAAGTAAGATGCTTTGTTAAAAATAAAAATAAAAAATCTTATCTAGATCCTACATACAATTTCAGATCAAGTAAATTATCCTATCAATTAGCATATCCAAGGCAAAAAATAAGGAAACTAAATATCTGATTGCAATCAACACCTTTAACAATTCAGTTGATCTATTTTTATATGCCCCCTTATTGTATTATTATACTATTGTTATATCCAAATTTTTTATTTTATGTTTAGGCAATCGATGCAAGAGATGCATTAGCAAAATTTATCTATGCAAGCTTGTTTGATTGGCTTGTAGACCAAGTTAATAAGTCACTTGAAGTGGGTAAACGACGCACTGGGAGGTCCATAAGTATCCTCGATATTTATGGGTTTGAGTCATTTCAGGTATGCAGTTTGTATTAACATGTTTATTGATGTTTCAGAGGCTTTTTATGTATTCTAATCGTTTATTATTTTTTTGTAGAATAACAGCTTTGAGCAATTTTGTATAAACTATGCCAATGAGAGGCTTCAACAACATTTCAATCGGCATCTATTTAAACTTGAGCAGGAGGTCAGCAACTATGTTAAGCTTTAATTTGAACACAATTGTCATGTGCAATACAATTCCAGGAATTTTATTTCTGTGCTCAAGGTTGCTGGGTATTTTGATGCCTTGTATGGTGATATCTTCAATATGAGTGCAATAGTATGATACAAATCCAGGAATTTAGTTTGTGTGTATATAAAAAGTGTTACTACTTCTGTTATCTTTCAGGAAAAAAAAAAAAAAAGATTTGGTGAAGACTTCTTTAAAGTTTTGGCCAATATAGTACATAACTAATAAAAAGTAAAGTATCAAACTGAAAATTCCCAGCACAATGGACCTTTGAAGTACAAAATCATAGCTCAGTTTAATCCTGAGATCCTGATTTACCTATCTGAATTAGTGTGTTGTTTACTTCAGTAAATTGTCTGTCGTACTAATGAATAAAAGTAGAAAACCATAATATAACAAAACAAGATGGTGTTTGTATGATTGTATCATATTATAAGTATGTATTTTTGAAAGGCTTGGCATACTTCATAGCAACATTGCAATTTACATTTTTCAGGACTACGAGCTAGATGGCATTGATTGGACTAAAGTAGAATTTGAGGACAATCAAGGATGTTTGGATCTCTTCGAGAAGGTATTTATATGGCTTAAGATTCCTAAAACTTTTCAGAGTAATTCCTCTTTTGCTGATCTGGAAACCAGGCTCTTTTGATTTTTGTTGCATTTTTTATGGACAATATGTTTTTCTACACCACAGATTATTTTCAAAATCATATTATGTTCAGGTCATAATGTTAGAGTCACATTATTCTCTGTCCGCTGTAGATAATGTTTTAATTATGTACTCTGTTGTGTAATGTGCAGAAGCCTCTGGGGCTATTCTCTCTGTTGGACGAGGAATCAAATTTCCCCAGGGCCACTGGTCTAACACTTGCGAACAAACTTAAGCAGCACCTGCACACTAATCCTTGCTTCAAAGGGGAAAGAGGCAGGGCTTTTAGTGTCTGTCATTATGCAGGAGAGGTTAGTATCGGTATTTAAGGGCCTCTGAAAGTTAGTTCCTTAAAATCTATTTGGTTGTGATTATTAAAGTCAAATTGATCCTTCCATTTAATTGCTACAAAATCTACTTGGCTGTAGTTTTTAAAGTTGAATTAGTCCTTAAATTTACTGGTTTACAGTGTGTTAAATTTTAAAATAGTGCAGCATGAGTATGAGTATCAAGCATAAGCCTACTTCATGCGCATATTGTAAAACAGTAGCATTAACATTACTGATAATTAATACCTATTATTGTAATTTTCATCTTGTATAAACTAATGTAATCATATACCGCATATGTTTTGTAAAGACCCAAGTTTTTGAATATGATTGTTTAGTTGTTTCTGAACATAATATATGATAGTATATTTCTATCTTTCTACTTACTAAAGAACTTTGCTTCTTTAGTTTCTTTCATTGCTTGCAATTCAATAATAAACTAAATGTTGGGTTCTTTCATTTAGGCATGAGAAATTTTATGACACAAATATCATTCTGATATTAAACATGCAATTTTCCTCTAGAGGAAACATGTTTTAGCTAGAGTTTTTTTTTCTTATGGCCTTTTTCAGGGAATTCCTGGTTTCTAATTTTGTTTTTCTTAGTCTATCAGGTTTATGTAGAATGCATATCATGGAAGGCAATCTTGTATTTATATTTCTGATTATTGTATTATCTGGTTGTCTATCAGGTTTTGTATGAAACAACTTGCTTCCTAGAAAAGAACAGAGATCCACTACCGTCGGGTTCCATTCAACTACTGTCATCTTGTAGTTGTGAACTGTTACAGTTGTTCTCCAAGACACTTAATCAGTCTACGAAGCAATCAAATTCCTTGTATGGAGGTGCTCTGGACTCACAAAAGCAGAGTGTTGGCACAAAGTTCAAGGTATTGTAGCATTAATTGAGCTGGTTATGCATCTTCAATATTTAAAAAGTAATGATTATGATTTTATTGATTTGGGGGTAATGAGTATTGTGGGTGACGAAGTCCCCTGAAAATTATATGATGTAATAACTGTACAAAGATTTTAGTAAAAAAAAAGACAATAATTTGAGGGGAAGTAAGCCTAACAAGTCTCTTTCTTTTTAGGGTCAATTGTTCAAGTTGATGCATCAGTTGGAGAGTACCACACCTCACTTTATTCGCTGTATAAAGCCTAATACTAAGCATCTTTCTAGAATATATGATGAAGATCTTGTGCTACAACAGCTCAAGTCCTGTGGAGTTTTGGAGGTTGTTAGGATTTCAAGGGCTGGATATCCAACTAGAATGACACATCAAGAGTTTTCCAGAAGGTAGTGGTGAAATTTCATTTTTATTTTTGTCATATTATATTGAATAATGTGTTGATTTGTGTTCCTGCATCTTAGGTATGGGTTTCTGCTTTCTGAGGCAAACGCATCTCAGGATCCATTGAGCATCTCAGTTGCTGTTTTACAACAGTTTAATATCCCTCCCGAAATGTACCAAGTTGGCTTCACCAAACTCTATCTTCGAACAGGGCAGGTTTGTAGTAAATCCAAACTCTATCAATTATTTTTTAATAAATCTTAAATAGATTAATGGTTTTCTTTTTATCCATTCATTACTATCAAATCCACTCATTTCCCACCCTAGTCACAGTTGACTTGACTTATTGATTGATGTGTAGGAAGTTATGAACTATATGCTTTACTAAATGAATATTTTGTTTCCAAATTTGCCCGGCCAAACATTTGATTATTTGTATAGATTTGATGTCGTGTTTTAGATAAATTTTATATTTAATTCATGTATTGGCTTCTCTGATATACTTTTTCTTGTGTTCTGGTTTATTTTATAGATTGGGGCACTGGAGGATAAGAGAAAACATCTTTTGCAGGGAATACTTGGGATTCAAAAAAGCTTTCGTGGTTATCAAGCTCGCCATCATTACCATGAACTTAAGAAAGGAGTGGCTACTTTACAATCATGTAATGCCAGGCTATTAGTTTTGTTTGAATTGGATGTTCTCGTCCTATTCTAGGCCTCATGCACATTTTTCTTTACTTTTATGCTGATTTTTCAAGCAAAATATTTCCATAAAAGCATAATCGATTTAAACCAAAAAGAAATTGGCACTTTTTTACTTCTACTTGTTGAAATCTAAATTGGAGTACTTTACGATATATGTATTCAGAACTTTATACACTTAAACTGACGGCTTTAATAGTCAAATTTTTATTTCAAGTGATTGAGTATAACCTAAGTTAAAGTTTGTATCTGTTACTTAATTATAATTTGGGTATATTGTAGTTTTTCGTGGAGAAAATGCAAGAAGGCAATATGGTGTTATGGTGAAGTCTTCTATAACTATTTCTTCTGAAAATATTAAGGAGACACAGGCAGCCACAATTCTACAATCTGGTTAGTGTTTTTCTGTTTTTGTCAAGTTTTCCATTGCCAATGTACTTGCATATATGTTTTGTTTATTATTCATTTCCCCTGTTTGTAGTAATTCGTGGGTGGCTGGTTCGGAGGCATGCTAGTGGCAAAAATAAGTCAAAGAAATATCCTGAAAATGCTAAATCTAAGCAAAGGACACGCGTGAGGTTGCCTGAAGAAAAGGTACTTTACAATGCATGTTTTCAATTTAGAAAAATGCGAGAAAATGCAGTCTTATTTTCTCAAAGTTTTTGGATAAGTCATTGATTGGTTTCTTTTTCTGTTGTTTTATACATGTAATGGTACTTTTTTGGTTTTCATTTCTTCTAACCAACTAAAAATTGTATCAATTTGGAGTTCCAAATCTGAAGTCATAATTTTTAGTTAATTTTCAACCCACCTTTTAATACTATTAATGAGACTAATGCTTGAAAGTTGAAAGGTGTTTGATATGCGGAAAGTCAGAAACGTTGAGATTTCTAAGCATATGAGAATTTATTTCCCCATGTTTGGTATGACAATTGAATTTTCTTTTCTTAACTCAAGAATAAATAATATCTATATTTATTAGCCCATGAAAGTGTACAAAATGAGATGCCAATCCAAAGGGCGAGAGTGCGAGACAGATTTAATTTTCTGGAACTTTTCATTTTAAATAAGTTAAATGTGTAACTCTTGTTATTGTTCATTATATTAAGTATAGACCAACACATTTTTGCACGAGTAGTTTTATGATTTAATTGGCAATTAATCAAAGCTCTCCCTCAATCAAGATTAACATCTCACTAGTAGTATTTGTGTCAGCTTTAAGTAGTCAATTGTAAGATATCAAAGAGCTTTATTTCAAGTCATTTGGCTGTTATACTGTACACTATACCGGCCTTTTTGCAGAAACGTGACTAAAATCTCATTTGTATGGTGATCTCAAAAACAAAAAACAAAAAAAGTATCCGTACCTTGACCATATTGTATTGCCTTCCTCAGAAGCATTCAAAGCATATTTTCTTTTTGGAATGAAACTTGTCATGGATATAGAATGCTGAGCTTGAGCTTCATGATTTTTTAAAGTTCCTAACCACACACTATAAATGTCTTGTTTTTTTGGGTTTAGCAGGATGTGTCTAGTGAGCGAGTCCAGAATCTGCCTTCAGCTTTAGCAGAACTGCAAAAGCGGGTTGTCAAGGCCGAAGCCACCATAGAGCAAAAGGAAGAGGAAAATGCTGAATTGAAGGAACAACTAAAACAATTTGAGAAAAGGTGGATTGAATATGAGAAAAAGATGAAATCAATGGAGGAGATGTGGCAAAAACAAATGGCATCTTTGCAAGTATGTTTTCAGTTAATAGAAATCCTTAATTTTTTTGACACTCGTGAATATTATTGTAATAGACTAGTTGATTGATCTGATCAAACTGAACTTTTGACTAGCTCGTTCTGCTTTGGCCTTGGACAAAATGCATAGTATTTCCTCAACCCCTCCATAACCAAAACAAGTGCACTTTAGTGTCGCCTGTGTCAGTCTTAAAGAGTAATTAGCATTAACTGTTATAATGTGCTTGATTTGTTCATTGCTGATAAGATAAGACTAATGTGTTAATATGGTGATTTTCTGTTTTACTATGAGTTTGTTGCAACCTTATTTGCTAAAAAGTCCAAGTCGTGTATGGTTTTAATATAACTTATAACTATGCAAATTTCTGATTGCAATTTCAATGCAGATGAGCCTTGCTGCTGCTAGAAAGAGCCTTTCTGCTGAGAATGCTGGCGGTCAACTTGCAAGACGCGAAGTTGCATCTTTCAGCTATGAATCAGAAGATGCTACTACCATGGGAACTCGAACTCCTCGAACGCCGGGTGCAAGCACGCCGTTGAAGTATTCGAGTAGTCTTTCCGAAGCTAATGGCTCTTTGACTTCAGTCAGCAACCTGATGAGGGAATTTGACCAGCGCAGACAGACATTTGATAATGATGCCAGGGCTCTGGTTGAGGTTAAAACTGGTCAATCTGCTAACACAAATTCCATCGAAGAACTTCGGAAACTCAAACATAGGTTTGAGGGGTGGAAGAGTGACTACAAGGTTAGACTAAAAGAGACAAAAACAAGACTTCATAAAGTAGGGAATTCAGAATTGGATAAAAGGAAGAGATGGTGGGGGAAATTGAGTTCTAGAGCACTATAGCATTCAGGTTACAAATATATTCTCTTTGTCGAAGGTGAATAAAAGGTGAAAGATTAGGATGGAAAATGGTAAAATGATTGTTGTCATAAATGGTAAGTGTTACTGTTGTGTTAGATGGCGAAGGGAAGAAATGTATATCTACCAATTTTGTTACATGGGGGAAGTGGTGTATAGTTGTAGACTTTAGGATGCATAGTTGTATGTGTAGTCTAGTTTGGTCATGTATATGCTGTTGTTGCTGATGTAATGTAAAATTTAGCCTCCATTATAAGTGTTGATATCTTCAATATTACTATATGATACATGAGAAACTTAGACTAATATGTTTTTATTTTCTCAAATTTGGGACAAGTTTATTTTTGGTTCCTTATTTAACATTGATTTGTTTAGTTCTTGTAATTTCAAAAAATATGTTTTAGTTCTTAAAATCTACTTGCAAATTCTTTAATAGAAATAGATTGAGACAGTTCTATACTACTTACTTAATTTAATATGATGTTTTTATTAATAATATTAATAGATAGATTGTGTGACATTCAATAATGAATGAGTTTTGTTTGACAAATTTATTATTGACATTTGAGTATAGGTATTGAAATGAAGTTTTTTTTAAAAATTATAAAGACTAAAATTTAATTATAAATTTAGGAAAAAAATAAATTACTTAATATTTGATAGATTAAGAATATATTTAAACCAAGAAATTAATATCTGCCTGGGACTGTTTCATGCTTGTTTGCATTTTTCGAGGGTCAGGTGTTTGTTGCTGTTCTGATTGTCTAAAATTGCAGTTTTCTCGGTTCTGGTTACAACATCTTCATATTTACAATCTACTTTCAGAGAGATAAAGTGTGTCACTAAAACATGAAACAGATTTGTAAGTTTTAAATTCGATCCAGTAAATTAATTTGAACAAAAGCTTAAAAACAATAAATTAAAAATAGAAGCCATTGAATGAAAAAAGCAAGCATTTAACATCTAAAAAAAATTTATGAAACATTTGATATTTTTTACTCAAGTGATTATGAAAATTAATAAATGCTATTTTTATTCTTTAAGATACTAGTGTTTATTAAAGACGCCCTGATAATAAATAAAAATATATTAATGAACTAAACAATAGTTAATTTAATATTCCCTTCTGTGTTTGTGTGGTCGAAGTGTGTAATAAAATAGAAGCGCCGTTAAATGTGACTCTACATTTGTCACAAACAATGGTGGTGATCCATTAATTTTAATCTTGGATATTTCTGTTGAAAATAAGTTGCATTCCACTTCGAAATTGCCCTCTTTCTTTGTGGTAGGCTTAATTTTGTTTGGATATTCTTTGAAAAATATCAACCTTATATATTGTATATTAAATATAAATAGTTATTTTTAAGAACATTTTTTTATAAGAGTAATTTTAATGATTTTTATAATTTTTTATTTAATTAATTTTTTATCATATTTATTTATAAATTAAATTTTATTTCTTTTTATAATAAGTTATTAATAATTAAAAATAATTTTTTACTGTAATATAAAGTATTTATCTTAAATCTAAAATATATTTTTTATTAAGTGAAATTTATAAATCTGACTAGCATGAGTATTATGTCTCATTTAATGAGTCTTATTCTTCGGTTAATAGAATTAACATAAAATTCCCATAGGTTGCTTTAGACAAAACTAGATCAACAAACATGGGATATCCCAGGTTTAAAATGAACCTTAGTCCTTAAGAAGTACACTAATCCGACAATTATTATGATCATAATCTACACATAAATCACAACAAGGGATGGATTATGGATACATTTAAGAACCGGGCACAAACTTAGTGGCATAGACCCAAGCATTGTTGGCCACAGGGTTGTCAAGGTGGTCCAAAAGATTCTCCAATGGGCCTTTTCCGGTGACAATGGCCTGAACAAAGAAACCAAACATAGAGAACATGGCCAACCTTCCATTCTTGATCTCCTTGACTTTTAGCTCAGCAAAAGTGGCAGGGTCATCAGCAAGGCCCAGTGGGTCAAAGTACTGGCCCCCAGGGTAGAGGTTGTTGCCCTCTCCCACTCCATCAAGCCCATTGATGCGGAACCCTTCAACAAGGCCCATCAGAACAACTTGGAAGCCCAGCACCGCCAGGATGCTTTGTGCATGGACAAGGTTTGGGTTCCCCAAGTAGTCAAGCCCACCTTCTGAGAATATTTGGGCTCCAGCTTTGAACCACACTGGCTCCTTGAAGTCCACTCTCACCCACTTCTCAAGGACTTCTGGGGTGATGCATCCTAGTGCTCCAAGCATGGCCCAACGCCCATGGATCACCTTATTCCACATAACAATTTAGGGAAAAAATTCACTAATCCTTCTTTTCAAATTATGACACTTACATGTATGAATATGATACCTCCTTATTTAACAAATTAAGACTAGTCAACAAAAAAATTTGCTCCATTATTGCTCTCGTTATGAGAAATGATACAAGCCCATCATAAAAATTAAGAAAATTCTTAGTGTGTCTTATAAATCAAACTCAATACTATAAAATTAATTTATAAAATAAAAGTTATTTTACTTAAATATTCAATTTAAACTTTCGAAGAATTTAGAATAATTCTAATATTATTTTAAAATATAAATTTAAATCTAATTTAACTTTACAAAATTTATTTTAAGAGATTTAGTTAAACTTTTCTCACTTTATTAGACAATAGATGTTTGATTATCTAAACTAACGTGATTTGAAGTAAATATTCATATATTAAGCATTGAAAAACTGATTTTATATCTAAAATGGATTGTGAATTAGTGTTAAGTAAAAGGTTTATACTTTTCTTTAAGGCTAATTTGCTTCTAGGATTAAAATATTTAAACATAAATCCAAATATTCTTTTGCAAACACAAACCCAAACACACAAAAGGTCATGCATGGTTGGAAACTTAAGAATAATTTAAAGTAAAATTACTTAGATCTTTCTGCAATTAGTTAGTTTGAAGAATCTTTTGAAAGGGAAGATAATGAGAAAGAGAAGCCAAGTAACTAACCTCAAGAGCCCTGTTCTTGGCAAATGCTTCTGGGTCAGCAGATAAGCCAGCAGTGTCCCATCCATAATCCCCTGGAAATTCTCCTTTCAAGTATGAAGGGGTCTGAGCTGAAAAGGGTCCCAAGTACTTCACTCTGTCTGGTCCATACCACAATTCATTCCCCTGCAATGCATGTTCACAACACACAAGCAAACCCAATAAGACCATAAATATTTTGTAAAAGTGAGACATAGAATGAAGAAAAAGGGGATATTTGGAAAATGAAGAGTACCATGGTGTATTTCCCAGTTCCCATGGAGACAACATCCCTAAGAGGGTTGGCATTGGCACCCTTGCCTTGGCCAAGGAAAGGGGTTGGCTTAAGAACAGTGCCAGAGCTTGTTGTAGCTGCCATCAATGTTCCTGCCATCACTTCCAACTTCCTAGGTTTCAAACCTCAACTTACTTCAAAAAAAATAAGATAACAATTGGCTTATGGAAATATGTAGAAGAGTTGCATGTAACATCATATGTAGGGA